AATAGATGCATTGGAGCGGGACGCTATCCTAGACCTGGGATGCATTCCAGCTGAGCGGGCTAGAAAGAGGACAGCAGCGTTGATGTAACAGTGTCTGTTTAAGGCGGTCTGTGGCAACCCCCCCAAAAAAACCTGAAGGCTGAGAGAGGAGCCACACTGAAGGGAAGAGCTTAAGTGGCACTCTTGAGTGCTACAAGTTGAAATGTGGAGCAGACAGAGCAGCAGACCGTGGCTAACGTGCTGTTAAAGATCTCGCCGGGCTGCAGCAGGGAGCTGCACGCAGAGCACCCCGGGGTTCTCTCTCTGAGAGAAATAAAATTGTGAGCTTCCTCCTCACTGCTTCTAAAGATCAACTGACACGGCCGCGTCATCAGTGCCTTAGGAAACAGAAAGACATTTGGAAAGCTTTACAGTGAAATGAGGCCTAATGTCTTGACTTACCCGTTCTTAGAAACTCACTGACTGGTTCACTGCCACGATTCTGGACTCTCAAAGGATTCCCAACAGTATTATCAACAGGTCTGATGGAATGATGGAGAACAGGGGCGGCACCAAGGGGGGACCAGAGGGGGCACTGGCCACCCCCTAAAATTTGATGCTCCTCAGTAGTAATAATGTAATAAGCTGGCATAGAAGCTGGTGCCAATCCCTGGACAGATCAATGGTGCATCTCAGGGCCAACATAGAGATAGGCAACAGTTCACACTCTTACATGCTCTAATACTTATTGGTCTTCCCTGTCTTTACATTCTGGCAGAGTGAATCTTAAGCTGCTTCCACTCCCCCCACCAAAACAACAACAACAACAACAACACACTTCAAACATACTGTCCTGTATAGTTTACATGAATCGTGCACCAAACTTGCAGTCTGTATTATCTGCAGTTCAAGCATGCACGGAAAGTCTAAAAATAACATCTGTTCATTAAGTATGACATCGGGTTTCTTTTCCACATCAGTACTGATGAATGCAACCCTCAAAAAGTCGTTGTTTGCTTTTTCCTTCTGAGGTTCCAATAAATGCTTAACACCCATTCACAGATGATAAAACAATCTGTGATTTCAGTGAGTCGTAACGAGTTACAGCACAATCTGCTGAAAATCAAAGTGGGCCTGCCACTGCGATCTGTTTCTCATAGCAAGTTTCAGGTCTGCAAGCTCATTATCATACTGCAGTGACATGCAGAGAAACCACTTGCCCTGAATGTAGATGGGGAAAAAACCCTATTTAAAACATTAAGCAAGTTTAAAAGTTAAAAGTACAGCATGTCATATTGGTCAGCATAACACATTTCTCTCTTACAGATGAAAACTTGAATTTGTAAATTATAAAATTTGACCTTATGTTGCACATTTATTTAGTCATAGATACAGTCCAAAGACTGTATATTAAAGATGGAATTCACCCAGTGGTTTCCCTTTTTTTTGGTGGTGGTGGTGGTGGTGGGGGGAAACAGCAGTGACAAGGGATTCTGCATGCTCATATTGTATACTGCTTTATTTTCTATTTTACTCTTTATGTAATCATAAAACACAAAATTATGCATTAAAATACATGTTAAGCCATTTAACACCAATCTGTGAATCATACAAGGTCAAGAAATTCAGGAGGCAAACCACTGTTGTGTTTTAGAATTGCAGACACCATAGAACTCTTCCTACAGGTGGTCAGGAGAAAGATTCAACAGCAAGCATCCACAGCTATCTGTAAAACATGTTGGAGGCTATATCATGGCTTGGGCTTCTTCTGTATTTGTATTTCCATGTATGTTTGCATGTTTCAATGAATCGCTGCATGTATCTCCCATTTTCTTAGGAAAATATAAAACAATACGGGGTGGTTCTGGACTTTTGCGCAGTACTGTAGATCAAGGGAGCTGAGGGTCATTTTCACGACTTCTCCACAGTTTGACATGTTGCGCCTGGCTGACTGAATGCAAGTTTAAGGCATTTCTGCAATAGTGTTATTTTTTTTTTACCTGTCGTTTATATACAGTCTTAGGTCTGAAATGTTTGCTATTTTTAGCACAAAAATAACATTTTAAAGAAAAGTTAAAGAACATAAAACACCATCAATCCATCTTCTTCGGCTTATCCAGTTCAGCATTGCAGCCTGTCCCAGCTGTCACAGGGTGAGAGGCAGGGTACAACCTGGACAGGTCACCAGCCTGTTGCAGGGCCACCTGAAACACCACAAACAAAGGAAAACGCCACGTGCCTTTGTCCTGTATTTGCTACTTCGTGCCACAAAGATAGCCTTTTATGGTAAAAAAGTATAGACTGTATATAAAAGATGGGCGTAGCCACCGTTGCTTGTTTTGAAATCGAGCGTGACGCATGAGGGTTTGCTCTGCTGACAGGTCAAGACTAATGAGTGTTTGCACAGTGTCAATCACAGAGAAGCCAATCCCTAAAACATATCCAGCTTTGTGGTGCATTTTAGGATTGTGTTTAAAGGTCGTACATGAAGTGACAAATAGGTTTGTCAACCCCTTGTTAGAAAAATGCATCTTTGAGTCACTTCTGCATCTTTTAAAGATAGAAGCCATGGGCATCTTTTATAGGCAGTCTTTAGTTTAAAAACAAAACAAGAACAAAACAACAAAACAACAAAATGCTATTTTTGTTGTTATAAGTCAGTCTGTGATGTGGGTTACTCAGCAGCAGGTTGAAAATACAGATACATACAGATATACACTTACTGCCGTTACCACCTACATTATAAGTCTCTAACAACACGTAGGTGTTTCAACCTGCAACAATTTAGAAAATTAAAGTTCAGTTTTCTAATAAATTATTGAAACGAGCAGATCGATATCACCGTCATGTGTTTTTTTTTAAGAGTGCTACTTCTCTATGTAACCAAAGCTGCTGCACCACATAAACTTTGCAAAATAAAGATGATTGTGGTTCTGATCAAACTCCTTGACAAACTTGTGGTGATCCAGTAGCAGCACATCCAACTATTTGTGTAGACGTGTCATGTCTTTAAATGAAGATAGAGCAGGGAAATGTGTATTAAAAATGTGGCTGTGTCACTCAATTCAGGAAATGCTTGCGTTCCTGCGGCACTGCTGCCATTTTCTATTTTTATTGTTGATGCAAGTTGACACGACTGCACATGGAGGAACTTTGCATGCAAGGCTTTTCTGCCGCAGAGGCGCTGCAAGATGTGAAGCAGCAGGATGACTGTGGGCTTTTGCTAGCACCGACAAGTTTTGTTGCCAACTCATTTTCATTCTTGGACTATTAGAGCAGCATTTCATTGTTTACTCTTCAAAATTGTCCTTGTTTATTTATTTATACTTTTTGCTGGGATTGGAGCATCACTTTAATCCAATCTGAAACAAGCTATGTCTTATGATTTGCTGCCCCTTGTAATCAGGTTTGAACAGTTGTGTGGGGATTGTCTTTTGTGCTTTTGGCTCACAGGGGCTACTCACAAAGGGTAACCTCAGTTTTATAGGCCATATTTAATTTGAGTGCAGCCACTGTGTATGCCAGAAAAAAAGCAAACGCATAGTAAGTCTGCTTTGTACAAGTGGTCATTGCTCTTGTCCAGACTTCTATACTTGAGTGAATTTCTGAGGCAACAACAACAACTTGTGTTCCTGTGGAATTTCAAATACAGAAGAACACACTACAAAAATTTTGCATTTTTTAATAATTGCATTTTATTAATTGAAAACAAAAACAAAAAACAAAAAAATGCAAATTGAAAAAGGAAAAAAAAAAAAGAAAAAAAAAAGGCAAAAACCAAAACAACATGATTAGGTAAGACAAGCAGAGACACTTAAATAAGAAGAGTTCCATGTTTGTGAGGGGAAAGGTGAAGGTGGGTTGATGCGGGAGGAAGGTGGAGGAAGGGTGTTGCTGAATGGGACATCTTGGATTATGTACACTGTCTCGCTGCAGGACTGGCAGGCCCCAAAAAGAGAGGGTGGGGCAGGAGGGGGTTGGGGGCTCAAAATAGCAGGTCGGAGACACTGAAACACCAGAGAGAAAGGCACTATCCAGAGAACAAGAAAACAGAAACCAGTTATACAAACACGGTAAACATGCACGCACACACGCACACAGGACCAGACATGAAATTAAAATGACAACACCGTGCTTACTGCAGCACAACTTTGAACGAAGAAAACAAACAAAAGACCAAAACAAAATCTTTTACATCGTTTACAGATGATCTCTCAAATTGAAGCAGAAAAGACAATCTCAGGTTTCTGAACTGCTGATCTGTGCCAGCTGCAGATCTACACTGGTGATTATTACACAACGTGATTATCCGAACTCAGCCTCTACGCTACGTGCATGTATTACAAGGAGGAGAGTGTCTGCATATGCATGCATGAAATGAATGTGTTTGAATGTGTTAACTGCCTCCACATATCCTCATTCACCAGTCTCTTCACAAATAAACACTAATTTCTTTTTATTTTTGCTGTTTTTTTCCCCTCTCTACAAGTCTTAAAATCCCTTGCGTGGTTGTGAAATTCAGTTCTCCGACCTAGCTTCCCTCATGTTTGTGTCTATAGACTCGGTCAGCTACATTCACTGCCCTGGTAAAAAAGAAAAATGGCTGCAATAAATATATTGGCTTTCGGAAAGGTTGCTGACCTTTATGTACAGGGCTCTGTGTGACAGCTCTTGCAGCATTCATGGCTCTGCTATGCTGGTCAACATTAGCTTCCTGACAGGACTTCTTCAGAGAATCGACTTTACTTTCTCTGCGTTACAGACAAAAACATTTTTCAAATGGAACTTGTGACCCTTTAAATGTCATGTGGTTTTATCTGAGAGCCCTCAGATAATGTAAAGGTTAAAAAAAACGAAACAAAATTGACAATTCATCACATTCTAGAGCTACTAGGTCTTATTCAGACTGACAGAAGATTGAACATAATTTACAAATGGAAAAAAACCCAAAACAATTTGTGATGAGAGGTAAAACAGACAAACACATACAAATATATAATATATATTCTTAAAAAAATGACTTCTCTCTATAATTGATTTATTTATGCAGCCTGAGGCTGATGTACAATTCTCTGCCAATGATCTTAAACATGGAGACTTTATGTATTGTTGATGCAATCATCTTTTCCTCTTCTTTTTGTACATTTCTAAAACAGTTTCTTCTTTTTTTTTTTAAATTTTATATATTTTTATGTATTTTCTTTTCTTTAAAACAGAGTTAGGATTCATCAGTAGGCTCTTCGTTCAGTTGATTAAAACAAAAAGTGGCAAAGAAAACAGAACAAAAGAAAGGCAGACTGTTAGGAAGTTAAGGAGGAGACAGAAGCAGCTGTGGGAGCGGTTGAATCATTTGGTTATCTTCACGGTTGAAGCAGGACGCTAATGTATGCTGCATCTAGATTTCCCTCAAAGACAGTTCGGTCCTCGCTGAGGCGTTCACTGTGAACATTCTCAGCACAAATAAAAGTTGATTTTTTTGCTCAGCTGTCACCCACACAGCGTCGCCCACGACAGCGTTGCTCCTGTCATTTTTATTCTCTGTCTTTCAGTTGTTTGCGTTCTCTTTGCTCCCATTATCGTGGGATGGCCGAGAGAGAGGTGGGAAGGGGGTTGGGTTTGGGAAGGGTGGGGTTCAGATGAGATCAAAAACGATGATGATGGTGGTGGTGGTGATGGTTGCTGTTGTGGTGGTTGTTGTTGTTTACATGGTCTGACTGTTTACATGTTCTGACTGACAGGCGTGACGTAGTTGCGAGGGAACATGCCCGTTTGGCCGTGGCAGCCTCCTTTCCACCAGTTGGGGTCAGAGTTGTCCAGGACTTGAATGAAGTCGCCGCGTCGGAAACCCAATTCGCCTTCCTCCTGGGGGTCAAAGTCGAAGAGCGCCTGCACATATGTGGGATTCTGCGGGATCGAAAGATGATGGTTAGCAAAACTGCAGCAACGGGGATGCAATGAAACTAAAGAAAAACACTGGAATCCACACCGACTCAACTGTAAACGAGACAAAATTCATGTTCTGAGCACCCTACAGCCTAACGCCACAATAACAGACAATATCCATGACTACAACGAATTAAATCAATTCTGTGAAGCTTCAAAAATCGGCAGTTTCCTTCATTTCATTTTCTGCTTTGTGATCTTTATGAAACCTCTGCAGTCTGCAGCTTTTGCTCACACACACTTGCTACCTCACTATGTCCTCTCCCACTACCTGCCTCTGACACCCACAGATACACTTGACTCTCTGTCAGTCTCTCTCTTCCTCTGGTTTACCTGCAACTTCTTCTCATCTTTTTAAGTTTGACTCATGTTTCCTCTTCATCCTCTGTGCAACTAACCCTGCAACATGTCCCTCAGTCTGCAGCTTTACCGCATCTAACACCACTACAAAACCACTACTGCTAGTTCAAGGTGACATCAAGATTCAATCCGAGCGTCCAAACACAGCTGCACGTTAACATGCAGGGTTGTCAGAGAAGAGATCACGTGTTACAGAAATAGTTGCTAGATTTTCATCTGACGTCTGGCTGCCATCTATGGTTTTTATACTGACACATTAGCCAAGAGTTCTTTAATAGCTTCAGAAGAGTATAATCTCCTCTAGCTGAAAATGCAACTGCAATTCTCAAATAATCAGCTGCTCTTTTCTAAACCTTGTTCATAACCAATTTGGAATCCAGGACAGCAGGTCACCTGTGGACATTTTTAATCAACCTTCTGCCACAACACTGACAGCTGTGTTTGTACATATTCTCCAGTGAAAGAACAACATAACACAGTGTGATCAGGCAAATCGTGCATCTGCATTACTCATCTCCAAAATATTAATGCAAATGATCTAAGCAAAAACATGTCCTCAGAATACGCACATACAAATTTGAGGGACAGTTTTCCATTCTGCTTCAACATAACATTTCAGTTTTACTCATATACCTTTAAACAGTCAGAAATCAAAGCAACTACCTCCACTCACACATGTGCACTGCATGATGTGTAAGTGAAAATGAAAAGTGCACAACTACATATTGGTCTTAATGGTTCTGCCCTCATGTGCGGTCCTTTTAAATCCGAATACTAAGATGCTAAACGCATGTCTGTGTCTAGAAAAAAATCTACGTACAGTAGTCTGTCAAAGACACTGCACCGCGTGTTTTTTTTTAGCGTTTTCTTTTTTTTGGGGGGTGGGGGGAAGAGAAGAAAAAGACTTCCAACCCACAGCTCATTTCGCTATGTGCGTGTCATGTCTTACCTGGGGGACCTGCTCTATATCTCGAAGAAAGATCTGCTGATTGCGGGAGACTGAGTTCAAGCGGTGGTATTCCACCAAGTCATTGAGGGAGTTAAACTTCACCACCCATAGGAAATACTTCCCAGCTCCGTCACGAAGAACCTTGAAGTGCTGGACATCATTTCCAAACCTAGAGAAGGTCACAGAGGGGACAGTAAGCGACAACTTCTGACAGAAGTACCTAGATGCCCTGAAGGCAGTGCAAATTACACATACAAACCACCACTTATCAAATAGGGATGTCTGACAGCCTTGTAAGTATTAGTCAAATGAATCAACATGCTGGTAACAGATTGGCATTTGTTCCAAAGCAACTAACTGGAATCAGAACAGTTCAGACAGTAATTAAGATCCATATCTTGGCATCAAACTTTACATGTCGCCTACTGTTCTTTCCAGAAGGACAGAATGAACAAAGACAGACAAGAGGAAATGTGTGTGTGTGTCGGCTGTAAAGTTAAGAACACTGAAGGCTCCGGTCCAACATGGCAAACACTGGCCACTGGAGGGCATCACTGAGACTTCACCAGAATAAGGAAGTGGCTTTGTTGATGACTCAAACATGCCAAATATGGAAACTTAGGAACCTGATCAAATGTCAGGAAACCATGTGCTGATATAATGATAATAGTAAACTGTATTTATAGATAACCAAGTGTGATACTAGTTGTTTCTATGTGATACTCACTTCACAGACAGAGAGAAATCCCCCGGTGCACTCTCGCTCTCTCTGATGAGGAAAGCGCCATCATGCCTCTGTTTGTTTAGCATCTCCTCTGCTTTGGCACGGGGAATCTTCCCAAAGAACCACCTGGAGAGCAGAGAGGACTCAGTGTCACATGACCGATGATACAAAACACCAAGCTCTCCCAAAGCTTCGAGCCCAGTTATACAAGGAACAACATATGACTGAGACTACATCCATAGAAAACAAACAAATAACAAAAAAAAGCAACTTTTACTTTGTTTTTACCATAAACAACATCCTACTGAGTCACTTTGAACCCAGTCTGTGGAATTTGGCTACACAAGTCTTTCCTTTTAAGAAATGACTAAAAAACATGTTTCTGCAAGCTTAGGTTTAACACACACCGTTATTTATAGAAAGTTATTTATAAATCTGTATTGTAGGTCCCTTTTAAAACCTTATCTGATAACCTTTTACAGTAATATTGCGCAACCTCACTTGACTTTTGCATCTACCAAGCCAAAAGCGGTGTTTTACGAATACACAACTGAAGTAAGGGGAATGTTACGAGCACTTGTCAGTCCTATCTTCAAGAAAGGAAAGTGATCTCCATATTAAAATTAAATAGGTTCTGTTAATGATAAAAGGGTCTCGTAGACTTTCGTAATCTTTCTAAAAACCACACATGAAGAGCAATGAAAACACAGCTTGACCTCAACTCTCACATTGGCTTAGAAATGAGTGACTCAATCTGAGGTTTTGAGATGTGTTTATTAGATTTTAAAGTGCACTCTTTTTTTCTTTTTACACACTTGAACACAGGACAATGCTGGGATAATTATTTTCAGTAGTCATTTCTAAAATATAGCAAATCTGTTTACCATTTACCAATCGTTAAATCTGTTTACTAGTGAAAATAATGTTTGGTTAGAGAAGCTGGGTACAGCACTTACTGCCCACTACTGTGTTCTATGCAAATTTATTAGACTACTAGCTTATCTAGCCCTACACAGATTCTGTACTAACAAGCTTGCAGGGTTAAGTGTGTTTAGGGTCCAGGTTGACTGAGTGGGACAGGCTGAGAAACGTTCAGCGCTGCAGTGCTTCTGTTGTGAGTGAAAGCAGCTTAATATATCACAGTGAGTGAGATTTATAAAGACTGGCAGAGAGAGGAAGAGAAAAATGGGAGACAAAGTGAAGGCTTTTTACTTGGGTAAATAATTAAAAAGTATAGCCAGCCCAAAGACGAAATCTTGGCTCCTTTACACATCGGTGAAGATCAATAATGTAATGGCCAACTCTTAATCTTGTATCAGGCTTGGCAGGACAGTGCACCTGTGCAGAGTCCCTTTCCCTATTTGATAAAAGTAATAGCAGAGCAATTACTGGAGCCAAGAAAACAGAAGTACTGGCATCAGAAACACGTTCACCTCTGTGAGAGGGAATTATTGAAACCATTTGTGTTCTTATTACATAACCGCATGGATAACCCACAAAACATCATTACTACTGGTAAGAGAAACAGAAATGCTCTTCTGCGAACTGCTGTACAGCACAGCTGTGTGTGCAGTTCTGTTGGGGAGTGCGAGTGCCTGGTGCTTTGGCTCTTTATTTTCAAAACAAAGAAAACTCGATATCAGTGCTGTCACTACCATTTCTACTTCACTACAGTATTGAATAGTTCCATCTGTAAACATTACAGTAAATATACAACCTGGCTGTCTTTCTCAGTGAACATCTGACTTGTGCTGAGTTGAAAGTGAGAAGTACGTACAACTTAGTAAGCTTGTCATGTTGCCATTTAAGGAAAGCAACTGGGGAACAAATTCAGCAGTTTTTAGGTTCAGATGGCAGCAGATTAACTGTGTCTGAGAGGGCCTGCACAATATCTGCTCACAGCATGCTCATTATGAAGCAGATAAGGAAACATGTTTTTAAACAGGAAAAAAAAAAGCCACACTGTTGAGAACCATCATACAATTATAAGTATTGTTGACGGACTGAAGTACTACAGATGATGCATGAAGCCCAGCTGAAAATCGATTCCCCATAACAATAATAAAATTCTGCAAACACTTTAGTATTGTTGTTAAATCTGTACAAATGATAGGCAAACGCACACTAAAGAAAAGGCTGATCAATAAGATCTCCTTTGAAAGGCACATCTGATAGCAATGCTGCAGTAGGTCAATATTCAATTAACTGTAAGAGGCCTTGAGCACGTTAATAAAGAGAGAGCTAATTTGGCACTAAGCACAGGTCCAGAGGTAATTGTCCTCTTGAGGATCAAGCCAGGAGTGATCTCAAGGGCGCTCTCTTACCCTCACACTTGGTCAAGTCTGCTCAGGTTGCGCATATCACTGAACAAAAGCTCCCCTGTTCACGCTTCAAAAATCAGTTAATATGTCCAATTTAATGATTTGCTATGAAAGAGTACAGATGCATAAGTGACAATACTTACGGATGGGGTTTCATCTGTATGTAATTCTTGGGGATGAAGCCTTCTCTTCCATCCTGCTCTGCCTTGTACCAGTTTTGATCACACTCTTCATTTAATACCTGGTGTTGGAAAAGAAAAGAAACCCCAAAACAAAACAGAGAGGTCATTCAAGTTAAAATGTCAACAAATGAAAAGCAAACATAAATTGAGCCTTATGGCAACTGGTTTAATTTCCTGTTATGTCACGGTGGTGATTGTACTGCATACTAGAGAAGCTTTTGGTAAATATTAGCAAAGTACAAAAACACTGAGGCAAAAGCAGCCTGCAGCTTAAATCAAATGTAGCTTCAACCATAGATTTAAGCTGGCAAAAGAACAATAAATGTGTCCTAAACTTTAAAGCTATAGAAACTAACAAGCCAGTAATATCAGAGAGACACGAGACAGCTGTGAGGCCATTCAAGTCTGACAAGACAGAACCACAGTGCAGGTGTGCTGGGCTTGTGGTTCAACCATGTGTGTCACAATTTAATGTGCCTCTAAATGAATGCGTGTGAGGGAGGTCATGCAAGAGAAGAGGGGAAAAAAACAAACCAAAAAAAAACAACAACAACAACAACCAAAAAATAGTATTTGGGCATTTCCCAATGTTAACCCCAAATCTTAATCTAAATGAATGTCACGTCACTTGATCCATTATTATTATTATTATTAGTCAATTACAGAGCCTACCAGAAGTTTCATATATTTCTTGTCTCCGATTCAGTGCGATGGGAGTATAATGGTAGATAATGACTGCATCATGCTCGCCCTGACATGCTTTAAATGTGCTCAGATGAGAAACAGTTTCCTGCCGAGTAGGGAGGAGGGGTTGTAGGTGTTTCACAAATATTAGGAACATAACTGATGACAAATCTAACTGCAAAGACAGAGAACATCCTAATTTTCAGAAGCTACTTCAGAAAATACCTGTGACAGCATGTTGACAATTGCGCAACGATAGTGTGGCTTTTAACACAAGTTTTTTCGGTTTGTAACCCTGATTTCTGTGGGCAGAATCTGTCTCCATGATGTGTGTGTGAGGAGCACGCTATAGAATGCTACTGAACAATCCCCTGTGTTATGTTGCCTAACTGTGTTTGTACTCCATTCTCAGCAGCACAACGTGTTACTCTGAGATCATCGCACTCACATCTGTGCCATTCTAAACAACAGCAGGCAGGAACAAAAATTACTCTCAGAGAAGGGAGATGTAAATAAGGAATGCTCAAGAACTTTAAATCTCAGTGTTGCAGCCAAATATTAGTACTGGCCAATAATAGCATGTTGACTGAGATCGGCATATCAGCAGATAAGATGCCATTCCGAGATATCAGTGGCAGATATTTATCTGGCATGTTGCATAATTCTGCCCTCGCTAAATGGTCAACTGTGGGATGAAGAGCTGAGAAATTTGAAAAGGGATTCTTTGTTTCCCTGACACAAAGAGGAAAACTTATTTTAAAGCTAAGAATTTTGATGCTCCCCTACCAAACCTTCTTTACCACTCACCACTTGACTGAAACCGACAATTATAGAGATCTGTGAATAGCATAAAATACTGAGCATCAGATGCCCTGTAAAATAGACCCCAATAGTTGGGTCTCCATATCCTTGTGGAAAAGCCTTCGCTGATAATTTAGCTTCAAATATATAAGTTGAAGAATTACACTACATCCCTCCTTAAAGTTAATTATGCATTACATAACATTGGTAACATGTTTATGCTTTCAAGCAGCATCTTGACATGTAGATTTGAAGGAAACTAAGCTCTAGCTTACAGTCACATAGCTTTTATGTGAATGACAACACAAAAAGGATTCAAATCCTATCCAAGAATGACTTATGCCCAGCACCAGCAGTGTATAAAGCCTGAAATGAAATAAATATGTGACACACATGTTACACAACCAAGCTGTCATTTGTTTGATTCTTTAAGAAGCTTTTAAGTAAAGCAGTACTGGCATTAAGCTCCACTCTGTCATCCAGTCAGAAATCTGAGTTGAAGGACTGTTCAGTTCTGAGCGAGTAACGTCTGCTAAAATCCCCCCACCATCTTGGATCAGACTTTCTTTGCATAATTTGGAGAAAATATTTTTAGCTAGAGTATGCACCCCATCCCTAATGCAGCATCACACATCAATGTGCCCCTCTATTATAGTCACATTTTCCCACTTTGCTGGCCCCCCTCCCCTCCACTTAAATTCACAATTTACCCTTTGCCCATCCCCAGACAGCTGTCTTGTTGGCCCAGTGAGTGATGTGGGTCTATTTGCCTGCAGAATGCCAGCTGTCCCTCAACTCCCCAGCTGCTAACCCTGCACAAGACCAGCATTACTCAATGAGGGAGCGGCTTTAGAGAGTGAGGGGAAAAAAGAAAATGCAATGAAGTGTGGGAAGGTAGATGTGTCCATATTCGCATGTGCAACAGTGGATACAGGGAGAACTGTAGTACAATGAAGTACAAGAAAGAGTGACTGTGTTTTCCCTAGTGAATGTAGCACTGTCAGAGCTACACAAGTCAAAGGGCCTTAGCCTCTGGGATGGATGCAAGCACACAAAACTGGCCTTTTAAGAACAAGCCTTTAGAAAGACAGACTACCCAGACTAATACTGTGTGGCATCATTCAGTTCTCTGCAAACACAAAGCTGAATAGTTACTGCAAGTGGAGCATAACAAGACAAGACAAAAAGGTGTTTAATCTGGTGGTAGGCTGTATGAGATTTTATAGCTTCTAATACAAGTTTTTCCAGGTCATCCTAGGTCTACAGAAAAATTCAGATCATAAATGTAAGACTAAATCCGAGAACAATATCCCAGTACATTTTATGGTAGGGAAAGTTTTTCCTGAATCACAAAACTTTATGATAGCAATGAAAAGAAGTGAGGGTGGGCGTCAAATCAACGGAGCAGATCTGGGGAGCACACATTCATGCTTCCTAAATAATTGATCACAAGTTACTGCATGGCCCAGACTATTGGATCAACTGACAGAAATTTGTAGAGCAACACTAGCAGACTAATATGCAGAAATCAAACCATTAACTGTATCACTAACAGCCAGGCCATGCTCAACTGAAACACCGTCTGTAAGAGAAGATTTAATGAAAAAGTCAAAAGCAAAGACTGATTATTACCCACGATATCTTTGAGATATTGGAACGCCAAGTCAGTTTTGTAATACACACACTCCATATACTGTACATGGTCGCATAAATTGTTGACTCACAGGGTGGATCATTTTGAGACAGAAACAGCGCCCTGGGCGCACAATCATGAGCAACATGTGATGGCGCGAGTGACTGATTTGCCTGATCTATGTATGATGAAGTAGAACTCATCCAAGAAATGAGCATACAGTGTGCACCCTGTGGTTTCAGCAGTGCTGCGTATGAGGTAGAGGTGGCAAGAAATCTTAGTTGTCTTCTTCCCATCTACTAAAAACAAACATTAAAGCAACAAATACTGTAGGAGTACAAAATGTGCTCTTGTACTCTAGTGTAGGATGAAGAGTTGCCAACAAGTAAGAAAGGCAATGATTCATCTTCATGACCCAGGCTCAAGCCCACTTGTTGGCAAGCAGGCACTCTGCTGAAGCACCCTTCAACCCAAAGCAGCATCAGTCGTGCTGTTCAAGTCACCCTCCACTCTGACCCCCCTCAAGGAAAAAAACGTTCTCAGCTCGATTAATTGTTGCATGTAGATTGATATGAGCAAAGGAGACTGAATGTGCAACTGAAAATGAAACTTGAAATGGCATTTTACATTTCATTTTCAGCTAGGTGACAAGATCACATTAGATTCAGACATTAGAAACAATGGAGCCCCTTCACAATCAAATACAGTAAAGTGTAGAGTAGGTTACAAATATATTTACCGGAATTAAAGTTTGTCACTTGTGAATCATGTCTCTTTTCTATCACTGTAGAGACTGACTGTCTGCTAGACGCCACAATATGCCATTAGGCCTCCTGAACTCAAACTTAGTCCATGACTAAAGTTAATAACAGAGCACTGAGGTTGCTGCATTATACTGTATGCTTTAGTTTTTTTCTTATACCTGTGAGAAAATAGTTAACAGGTAACAGTTAAAAATGCATTCAAATCTTAAAAACAATTAAAATTATCTCCAGTGTTCAAGCAGCATGTCCCCGAGTCATAGAAAAACAGTCTGAGAAGCTTTTAAACTTTTTAATAAGCAAGGAAGTAAAATCATCTCACGTAACCTGAAGATGTGCTCTACTTTGTTAAAATTATAGGACCTCCAGCCACAAAGTTACCATGGTGAATGTTTAAAGAGGGAACTAACATGGTCAAAAAACTATTTATTAGTGGTTTCCATTTGAATGCTTCTGGGTTGGCTTTCAAAACTGAAAGAATGGCAGTCCACGAGGAAAAGCAGAAATAAAATATTTGCAAGGTTGGCAGTTTTTTTTGAAACCATAGAGGAGACAACCACAGCATTCTGTCTGACTGTGCTTTTTTCCTGTCCAAGCTGAGCAAGTATTGTGCCATTGCATTTCTGTGGATGATACACATTCCCTCCCCTTCTCTGAAGATTTTTTTTTCCTTTGTAATCCGATTGAACCACAATAGTTGTATGAGTTTCTATTTGAGACGCAGGCAGAGGATTATCTCCTCCACAGCTGCCGCTATAGACTCCCTCCTCCCCCAGCTCTTTCCATCACACACTCTAAAATAATATACAACTTCCACCCACAAATTTAGTGCACACTATAGATGCATAAATGTCATGGCAGTCCTCAACTATTAATTTAGCATGTGTGTATAAAATAAAATGTACAATACAGTGAATAAATCCATGTCATAATGATGCTTGCTGTGTTTCAATGCCCTTTATCTTCAGAGCCCAGTCATCTTTACAGAGGACGCGTATTTAGACTAATGTACAGAAAATGATGCCACATAACAGGATTTCTTCACTTATGCATAACTAAAAAGAGCTGATGTTTTAAAAATAATCTGCCCTGCAGCTGCCAATGATTAAAAAAAACAAACATAATGTACAAAAGGGGAAATGACAGAAACCATAAAAATGGAAAACGAAATATAACATGT